CTTCAGACCTAAATCGTCATATCCGACTTCAGACTGACCTCTCCCATTTCCTCCTTATCCACATTCGGCGTAGACTTTGCTATCACGAGAATCGGCTGCCCTGCGCTATGGAACCGGTCCAGAAACACCCTCGACAACCTCTTGCCCTCGTACACCGCCTCCCAGAGCAGAGTGCAGTATTGCATTGACAGACTAAGCAGCGAGACTACGATAGACTGCACGAATATGCGCTCGTCAATGTAGATGCGGGTCGCCCTCGAGCTGCCGACGATGTAGAGACCCGTCTGGAACGCCGCTTGAGGTAGTGACTCCAGGAGCAACTCCGCGATGACGCGGGATTCATGGTAGCGCTCAAAAACGAGGATGTCGTCCCCCCAGGCCAGATGTGCCAAACGTTGTGATCGTTACATGGCACTATCGACCGGTAGACTCGTGACCGGATTTCCTCAACGCAATCATTCCGAGTCTGAATCGGAATTAGAATCAACCGATTCTGCCGCTTTCTTTGCCGGAGCAGACTTCTTTCTAGCAATAATCGGCTTGGGCTTATGAGTGGCTTTAATCGACTTCGAAACCTTCTTCGAAGAACTCATACTTTCGATGTCTTCGACTTCCATCTTTGTAGCTATACTCTGAAAGGTGCCCTCGAATGGCAAACCTGTCGGGCGATTACTTTTCTTCACCGGACCGATCTCGACCGAGTACCCGTACTTCTTGTTCGTTGAACCTCTTGTAGTCTCTTGTATGAGGACAACTACATTCTGTGGAAGAGAAACCTTTTTCCCTTGACATTTCTGTGTCCGAAATAGTTGAGAACCAGCTCGGGCCCCCGCTTGACAGACGCGCCCCTTCTTCGCGTCGATCTCAAGTCGCGTATTCTTCAGCAGAGCAAGAACATCATTCCCCTTCGCGTCGTAGGCAGCAATCACCCGAAAGCTTCGTTTCGCAGATTCCATATCGGATGGCCTGGTGCACTGTCTATGATGATAGATCGTAGAAAATAATGCTGCCCCCTAATGCATATTCGACTATGCGGAGTCAACAAACCCCGTTGCAAGCGATAATATATAGTGCATATGGTGTGAACCGCATGCGGAGAGACCGTGAAAAAGTGACAAGTGCATTTTAAATAACTAGTTATTCTCTTTAAAAATCCCGGGATTTATAAACATTTTTCAGGCCCCCGCACGCAGTTTCAAGAAAATAAGCGTTTAGGAGAGGTTTCGATGTCATTTTATTGTGACCGACCTTTTTTAAATAACTTGTTGCGAAATGGGAGACGTTATAAAATTATTTTCTTGCGTCATCGTAGACGGGTGATAACTATGGATGCTCTACGGAAGGTCTTAGCTGATGGGATTAGGACCGAGAGTTCCACAGAGCAGTATCTCAAGGGGATTCAGCTCCTATGGAACATGGTCTTTGAGGATAAAATGCCCGAGGATCCCTCGTGGATAAAGAGTAAGGCTCAGAAGATTGTTGCAGCTGTTCTAGAGCGCTATGATAACCCTGGATCCAGGCGTACTCGCATAGCCCCTTTTCTTGCTATTTGTCGCAAACTGGGCTATGCGGAGGCTTATCAGACTTACTATGAGCCGTTCCGGAAGGAAAATAAGGCTCTGAAGGAGACCGCTCAACGAAAGATTGAGACGAAGGCCTCGGACGCCGCATCAGAGATGACCGTTGAAGAGGTCGAAACTTTTGGAAAGAAGCTCGCACGCAAGGTCAGACAGCTGAGTCTCGAAGACATGGATCGAGATCTCACTCCTAAGGAGGTAAAGATCTGCATGTGGCATCTCGTCCTCCAATGGCATATGCTTCTGAGTAAGGAGCATCGTCGTCGTGTAAAATTGCACGAGCTTCCAATCCTGCGGAAGGGCCAACAGCTCGAAGGTGCGAGTTATTTGCTGCAGACCTCACGACGCAAGGGAGATTACAAACTCGTCTTCGAAGACGGAGATCGGATTCCTCTAACCAAGATGCTGAGCAAGTATCTCCATCGAACCCTTCTATTGATACCTCGAGATTACTTCTTGACTTCTGTCACCAACCCGCAGACGGCTATGACCGCTAGCAACTGGTCAATGTTCTTGAGTAAGATTCAGTACAATGGAAAGCGCTTCAATCCAGATCGAATGTGAGACGTCTGTATCTTACAAAAAATATCTATAAAGATTAGTAACGACGATGCGCTTTCACGGCAATGGATTCTAACTTCGAAGCAGAGATTCGCAGGAAGCTGAAGATTCAATCTCCTGAAAAGGTTCTCCGCGGAGCTCCGCCGACCAGATCAGATTCGACGGTGTCTGTCTACATCAGGCAACTTAAGACCGTATATGCGGCTGGAGACTTTGGGCCGGACGTGATGAATAGTCTCGGCTGGATCGAGGATTACGAGCAGGTGATTTCGACCATCGAGAGTCCAACGTCGCGTGATGGCAAGCTTCTTAAATCATTGACGAAGAGTAATTATGCAGCCCCTTTTGCTATTCTTGCTGCTGGAGAGACGCAATCGGCTTACTCGAAGTACATGCAGAGGGTGAAGCCAACCGAGGAGGAGCTCGATCATTCTATGCAGAGGAAGACGCCAAAGGAAGTCGACAACTGGGTTCCTTGGGCCGAGCTCTTGCAAAGGCGATCGGAACTCGACGATCAGATCAACCGCTATGTCGTGCCGAGATTCCATAACAAGGAACGCTTGGATCGCCATGATAAGCAGTTGGTGATGGATCATCTGATTCTCTCATTGTACACGATGCCGCTGGGACCTTTGCGAAATGAATATGCTGAATGCATCTTTTTCATGAGGGATCACGGGAATGATCGTGTTGCGATCGAACCGGGTGATATCAACGTCGTCGAGTTGAACAAAGATCCCAAGCAGTGTTTCTTTCACATCGGTCGACACAAGACCCTCGAAAAGGATGGAGTTCGGCGCCTTGAGATTCCCGAGGATCTCGTAAAGGTTATACTGAGATCCTTCAATCTGATTCCTAGAAAACATTTGATCCTTAAGAGGCATTACCTCGTCTGGAAAGATGAACCGATATCGAATTTCACCGTGGTTCTCAACGACCTTGGTCAACGCCATTTCGGTCGAAATCTTAGCTGCACTCTGCTTCGACACATCTCACATACTGAACAGAGTCCGAAGCTGATGTCCCGTGGTGAAGTGAGAGCAAAGGCACAATACATGGGCCATAGCATGAGGACTGCGGATGAACTCTACAATAGACGATTCGAATGAGTGGGCAATTTTCTTCTTTCTGCACTTTGTGTGCGTTCTCTGAGGAGCAATTTTTCTATGTTAGAATTATTAGGAGGCATCAATTGCACTCCAACTATGGAATCCACGAATCACAATCATGGATCGAATGCGTGTGCTGCTTGTTTGGAGGCGAGCATCTATAAAGACGAGCATCAAGCCAAGAAAAGAGAATATTCGAAGAGTTACTATCAAGTACACAAGGACGAGATTCTCTTAAAGAAGGCTCTTGAACGAATTGCGAAAGGAAGCAAGACAAGCAGACGGACGAGGCAGCGACTTTATCAGGTACAGATCGCTATTCCCTGGATTCGATCGTACTAACCAACACGTCTTTGCACGTGTGGGCTTCGTCGAATCCCGCGTTCTATGTTAAACAAAATTTTCTGGGGTTGAAACTACAGGGGGCTCCAGACCTCCTTTGGTCTGTGGAAAACCATGGCAACAAACTCGATCGCGAGCGTGTTGGAAGCGTATGCACAAGAAGGACTGTATGCTATTCCGGCAAAAGTTAGAGCAACGGATGAAGGATCGAAAGATATTCTGGCAACGATGCCACATACGAAAGGCAATCACGCTATACGAACAGTGTCCGATTGGAGGATGGCAAGGGATCGAATCATGAAGAAGATTGAAAAAGAACGATTCAACTTTCTGGCGATAAAGACAGGAACCATTTCAGACATCTTCGTGCTCGATATAGACACACGAGACAAACCGGAACAAGATCTCCGAGCTGGCATGCCTCTTTGGAATAGATTGATTCCGGAACATGGAGAACCAGACACCTTAAAAGCCACTTCTGCCAGCGGAGGCCTTCATTACTACTTCTCATATGGTGAATCACTCAAAGACGGACTGCAATCGGGAAAGTGTTTTGCTGGGGTGGACTACGAGGGCCAGTATTATGGTCTCGATGGGCGCGGAGACGGAGGCATCGTTCTGGCCCCGCCAGGCTCACCCGAGATTAAGTTGAATCACACTTGGTGCGCACATCCCTCAAGGACAAACATCCGACCAGCTCCATCATGGTTGATCCGATTCCTCAACAATTCTGCTGGAAGATCCGCAAAGAAGGGCCTTGTGTCGACTTCGAGCGATCGAATCCAAGAGATTTCAGCAAACGGTGCTGATATCGAGCACGCAAGCGGGCTCGAAGCGCCAAACACTGAAGAAAACATACAAACGGAAAAGGACACCGAGATTTTACACGAGACAAGATCAATCGAGCACGAAAGAATTGCCGATGCAATGATGGCTTTGTTGCGAAACAACGGACTCGATACGAACGTTCGATTCTCTGGCAACGTGACCTTCCGTGGTCCATACGGTATGCTCTACTCATTCATATGTGATGGTCCACGAACGTGCATACATGGCCATCAACACGATGGTAGCAATAATCTGACGCTCGTAAAGCGAGGTTGGACGGTTTTCTATCGATGCTTTGGCATCGAATGCTCAGAAAAGCCTCTTGCGTTGCTCGGCAATATCCCTCTTCCAGTGTCGTTGTTGGATGCCAATCCCGTACGTCTGCACCCAACTCATGACTGGAGTACCTTTTCGAATAACATAAGAACGATGTCGCAGGATGCTGTGGAAGCACACATGAATCTTATCCGGCGTAATGTGACGCAGCGCTATCGGGGAATGGCAGCCATTTTCTCGGCTGTGTATCTCGTTGACGGACGCATTATTGCTGAGGGTAAAACATTTCAATACTGGAACGGTTGCCGATGGATCATTGACGATGCGTTCCATATACAAAGTGTATTTAGTTGCCACATGTCCCGTATCATGTCCTGGTATGCGAAGCAGAGACTCAATGCTTTCAAGCAAAAACTCCTTGCACATATGAGAGACGCTGCAACATGGCAAAACGCATCCCTAACCCCGGAATCGGCTCTTCCGGATTGGGCATTGAACCCAAGAACTGAGGAAGAGCGAAAAATATGCACCGCCGTATGGGAAGTAGTCAATCAGAACTACCCATATCTCGAGAAGCGTGACCTTGTAGACCTAACGCGGGGATCTGAGGTCCGTGTTTGCCTCGAATTTGTTACGAATGCACTACAAGCCCCCCAATCTCTCAGTGACTTGATGGATATTGCCAATCCGTATCTGTTTGCATGCGCGAACGGAATAATCAACACCCAGACGGGAACCTTGCTCGCATTTCATCCTTCTCATCTATGTTCGCGTGCGTCAAAGGCAGCTTTTCGTGGAATGCCACAAGCTGGAAGCCGATTCGAAAAGTTTCTGCTCGATTGCTTCAACGAAGACAGAGAAGTGCTCGAATGGTATCAACTTTTCTGCGGCTACTGTATGAGTACAGATACTAGCGAACAGTTGTTCTTAATCAAGCAAGGTGCTGGGGCTAATGGTAAATCATTGACAAAACTAGCGAATTCTGAGGTTCTAGGTAGCTATGCTGTCGTTATGTCTCAGGACTGCATTATCGAGGCCGGCAAACCGGCGGCCGGATCTGCATCGAGTCATATTATGGCGCTTCGCAGCGGAAGGCTAGCGGAGACCGACGAGTCAGGTGAGAAGGCCGTCTTGAACGAGGCCGCAATGAAAGCGCTCTCGGGGTCTGGCACGACTACTGGGCGCGAACTGCACACCAAACAAGAAACGTTCCAGATCACCGTGAAAACTGTTCTCAACACGAACTATCGGCCTATTCTTCATAACGTATCCTACTGTGTAACCAGGCGTTTGGCACTCCTCCCGATGTTGGTCACTTTTCTCCCACCTGAGAAACTCGATCCGAGCAAACCCCGCCAAAAGCTCATTGATACTACGCTTGAAACGTATCTGCAAAGCGACCAAGGGCGAGAAGAGGGTCTTTCCTGGTACGCAGAGGGGGCCAAACGGTATCACGAGCTGAAGCGTGCAAATCCAGACAGTCTACCATTGATGCGCCGTCCTCGCGTCATGGAGGAATCTGTTAAAGCCTACATAAATGATTCGGACATTGCTAGACGATGGATCGAAGACTGTCTCGATTTCGAAGACATCAGACCGGGGGCCAGACCGACATGGCACCTAGCTGTCGGCGAACGGCTTGGAGAGGCGTTCCGAGCTTGGTTGAAAGAAGAAGACTTGACTAGCTCTTTGTCGGCAAAGGCGCTGAAAAAGCGCATCTTGGAGTATGCTGAAGGCAAGAATCGGGTGGTTGCAGACGGTCGATTTACAGACAGCCAGGTACAATCTCGAGGACAGTTTAAAGGCCTTTCGGGGGTTCGACTGAAATCTGGCTTCGAATCTCATGCGTAAGAGTAGGTGACGACGGTCAGAGCAAGCGTTTGCACGCAGAGGAGAGCTATAGAGCTTGCAAGCTGGTGGTTGGTAAGATTTATCTTCCAGGTCTGAGTTCTGGTCTAAAGGTCTGCAGACCAAAAGTCTATAAGACCACGATTTCAAGTATTTTCGATTTCAAAATTCTCCAGGGACCATGAGTGCTGTAATATAAAAAATCTGGAATCCGGGTCTTCTGGGCTTCTGGTCTGCAGACCAAAAGTCTATAAGACCACGATTTCAAGTATTTTCGATTTCTCCAGGGACCATGAGTGCTGTAATAGAAAAGATCTGGAATCCGGGTCTTCTGGGCACCTGGTCTGCAGACCAAAAGTCTATAAGACCACGATTTCAAGTATTTTTGATTTCAGAATTTTCCAAGGACCATGAGTGCTGTAATAGAAAAGATCTAGAATCCGGGTCTTCTGGGCTTCTGGTCTGCGCCCCCATCTTAGCACGGCATGCCACTAGCACAAGTATCTTTTTCGTTTGCACCGAAGTGGCATATCTTCAGCTGATGATAACGACCATCCATTATGCACATCGATGCTGGTGGAATGTATGCAGCATCTGATGAAAAGTACGAGTCGTAGTGACTTCTCGATGAATGTCTTTGTTTCAATAGGGTCATCAGTACATCAAGAGTCGTTGCCGTACAGCCGGACTCCATGTGTCCGCTCTGCCCGCAATGCGCAGCTTTGGTTCGTCAACCCGTGCTAGATCGCTATTCCTTCCGCTGACTAGATTAGCGAGAATGATCATGAACGCTACGAGACTGCTATACCACGCCTGCGTCTTGAAGGTGACGAGGAATGCGTTGCACGACTCCACTGCCGACGTATTCACCCATCGCACAGAGTCGTAGTAGTCTGCACGTAATACGGGGATTTAATTAGTTCATCATAGGAAAGCCTTGAGACATGGCGTTTGTAGAGGAATAATGCTGCATAGACATGCACTTCTGAAAGGCAGTCAGAACTTGCCTCCCTATTCTATAGAAGAGAGAGGGCATTTTTGACTGATTCATTCTAAACCCGCCGTTCTTTGCATACACACTCTGGATGAGACGAGTCAGAGCACATGTGCCTTGCAAATGCATCAGTCTCTCACCTGTGTTGTATGATGAACCACACTTGTGTGCCTCGGCGGTTGTGTGGTGGAAGTGGAATCTGCGAGGATCAAGCACGAGATGAGAATCTAAAAGGTACAACGAGGCACAGCTGAAGAAAGGCGCAATGCTGTATGGCAACAGCACGGAGTATCACCAGAGTTGCTTTCAACAAGAGCCGCCCCTTGGTTTGCGCAAATCTTCGGATCTTACCTATCGACCAGGAACCGAACGTCCGCAAAGAACGCCGGCTCTCTCCGCATCGCGTAGGCGCGCAGCTTGCAGGCGTTGTCGTGGACGAGGATCAGGGGAAGATTTTTCCGATTGAGTCGGGTGTAGAGGACGGTGAAGGGGTCTCGCGGCGACTCCCCCCGGAGCATGACGTGAAACCCGTATATCACGCGGTGCCCACAGCAGAAGACGAAGCCGCCCTTCGTGTGCCATTGCAGGCGCTTGTTCTTCTTAATCCCGCTTTCCAGAGCGACCTTGGCATCGAATTCCCCGACGGTGAGCCCGCTCCGACACCGGTGCTCCTCGTCGCACTCGCGAGACCTACCGAGGTCGTCTTCGAACGGTTCGTATTGCGGGAGGGGCCGTTTCTGCTCCCATCCTGGAAGCGGGTAGCAGCCTAGCTCTCGTTGCTCACGGCATTAGGGATGATCCGGGGGAAGGGGCCC